TATTTATGATTCTGAGTAATATCAGAGGATTATGGATACAGGATTGAGGAATGAAAGCTAAGTCAAAATAATCGCAAAGGTAGAATTTTTAATCTCAAGCGCGCAACATAACGGCGATGATGAAAGATGAAACAGAAACCACAACAAGGCGAAAATTGGCAACGTCTTCTTAAAGAGAAAGAAGGAAAATTGGGATTTCACGAAAAAATACTCAGGTGTTTTTCGAAATTTTTGGAAATAAATAAAAAAAAAAAAACAATTTGAAGTCTTTTCTTTAATGAAATGTCATTAAATTATTATTTCTATAGCCATTTTTATTTCTTCGGTATGTCCAAAAACAAAACTAAAATTACTTTTTTAGAGGATTAGAGACAATTGATAGCTGTGCGTTGAGTAAAAAACAGAAGCATTTTTTTATAGTTATTTATTTATTTTAAGAAAAACTAAAATTGACTAAAACAATGAAAACCAATCAGACTATTAAATTACTCACTAAAAAAAAATTAAAAAGAATACTATAAGATTTGAGGAAAATAGACAACATTGCATTGGACAAAATAAAAACTAAACTGAAATGAAAAAATTAAAAGAAATAAAAAATTTTAAAGAAATTCGAGCTGTTTATTGCGTGTATGAAGAGCATCTTAAACTTCACTGCTTGACTACAGCGTCCTCTAGCGATTGTACATACGACTTGTAGTTGGCAAACATATGACAACCAGAGAGAGATGGAATGGGTGCTACACTCCATTCATAACCGAATCTCAAAAAGCGAGTATATTTGTGTTGTTTTCGATTTTCGATTTCCCAATTACTTCCGAATACTGAAATTCTAGTGCAAGGTGTAAAGGAGTGAGAGAAACCACCGTAATTTAAATATTACTGTCTTTCTACTTCACAGAGGACCTAGTGTTGAACAGAACGGAACTTCCATTAAATATATTCCACACTCTGCCCGAGATCTACTTAGTTTTCCGTAAATTCATAAAGCCTCTGGTAAAAACAAACTAAATTTTACTGCAAAAAATGCAGGAGACGCCATTGCAATAAAACCAATTGTAGTAACGTTTAGATAGGTGAGAAAGTTTTAATTTGAGACCTTTGGAATGATATGTGTCGGGATTATTGTATATAATTTTTTGAATAGAAAATTTCTTTTGGATTTAATTCTTAAAGGGTATATATTTAACTAAAGAAATTAAATATAATGTTCCTAAAAATTGAAGTATATATTTATTTATAAACACAAATTTTCTAAATTTCTTTCGTGTTTTATTAAAATAATTATTTTTAAATTTTCTGTCTTCAATCCTTTAAGCTTTAGTCAAAGTTCCAAAGAAGTATCAATCATCACACATATGCATTTGTGTATTAGTACAAATTACATATCTTTCTGGGTGTAATCTTACAGCAATTATGGCACGAAATTTGTCAAACAGAACAACAACAACAACAACAATAACAACCGCGAAACAGTAATAGAAATAAAATGTGCCTGAGGTGTGTACAAAAGTTTTTTACTTCCACCTGCATATGTGTGTAAGCCCAAATAAGCATGTCCTCCTCATGTGCATTTAGATTTTAAGAAACGAAAGAAAAAAAAACGCCGCAAAGCTGTTAAAAACTTAAGTAAAGAAAATAAAAAATCATAAAACATAAATATAAAAATGAAAATGGATAAAGCAAAGCAAAACTGGCACTCCTCGACAAACGAGCGGCACTCCAAAGCATACAAAGCGTAAAATTTCCAACTAACATAAAGTGTGTCCTTGAGCGACAACAACAAAAATTTTGTCAAAACCGCAAGCATACTACACATATGTACATATATGTGTATGTATTTTTATTGTATGCACGCTAAGTGTGTGTGAATGTGTTGGTGGGCTAACATCTATTGAAGGAAATATACGAAAAACACATTGGGAAGGAATGAGGGGAAATATTATATATTTATTTAGCATATACACATTTACGCTCAAAATATATATAAATTTGTATGCAAAATAACAAAAAAGATTCTAAAAAATTCGAGAGTTTTAAGGACATGTGTGTAAGCTTAGACAGCAAGCACTGGCAATGGTGTAAAGATAATGACTTAAGGGCAATTTGAGAAACTTTCAAATATATATATATATATATATATATATATATTTATATATGCTTGAGTGATATGCGAGTGTTTGTTATACTTTTTAGCAGATATTTTGCACTCATTAAACATTTCTTGACGTGTAAGAATCTAAATTTAAACGAAAAATTTAAATAGAGAATATCCAACACTGCGTGCAGATACATACAAACATTCATTTATATGTAGAAAATAATATCCACGTTTATATGCATAAACGAATATCGTAAATTTGATTTGCTACAATTTATTTTTCGTTGACATTTACAAACATATTTTTGTTTTTAATTTTAGCTCAAACTCGTCTGTATATTGCAAACACATGTATATATACTTTTGTATATAAATTCTTAGCAACATTTCTCAGAAATATTTGTTTGGCACCAATTAAAGTGAAATGCATACGTTCCTTGTATGTAAGTTGTGTGAAAATATACAAATTTATATATAGATATTATACCCCGCATTAAGAATAAGCTTTGTTGATTGCCAGCTGCATACGCAGTGGTGTACCATTTTATCAGACTTGCCGTCGTACATCATTCTTTTTGGCTATATTTTGAGGGGTACGCAAAAATGGGGTCACGCACATTTACAATGCTTATATTCACATATATATATATTTTTTTTTTGGTTGAATTTAAATTCAATACTCGAAATTTAATGGGAATTTTTTCTTTTTTATTTCCGTTACTCAAAATGAAAATTAAGACGATTAAAAATATCAAATTCTGATTCTTCTTAAAACAAATTTTAATGAGCGATATAATAAAAGGATTTTCGACATGACAGAATATTGAAAATTAAAAACAAATTTAATACCAATTAAAAGTTTTAATTGTCAAGAGGTGGCGCCTGAAAAACTATAGAGTAGCTGTGTTGCTCAAAAAAAATCAGCCGAGCAATTCAAATGCGTTAGTGAAGAGCTGACAAAATGCATGCACCAGCGTCTTTAGTTGGTCCAAAAGTGTGCACCAATTATCATGGGATTTACCACTCAAATATCACATATAGGCCAATGTCTTTAAGGCCTAAGCACATTAAAAAAACAACTGATTGCACCTTATCAGCGCTGCCTCCCTGTGGAAAAATGATCATGTCCACGGTGTTGGCGTTTTTGGCTCTCCTAATAAAAAAAAATGTCCTGCACTCACAAAGAAAGTGTCCAGAAGGGTTTTTCTACGCCTTACAACTACTGTAGAAACTATAATCTATTGAATGCCACATAATCTATTTGAATGCCAAAAAGCGTGTAAGTTTCTCTTATTCGATATTCATATTTCATAACAGCTGACCATACTGGAGGAGTTGATACGTTTACACCATGAGTTATCAGCAGCGACGTTTAATTTTCTTAAAGAACGTCTTTATCTTTCAAATGATCAATATTCTAGTAAAAATTGATATAACGCCTCATTTTCTCCAGAACCACATAACTACTTGTAGTAAATGATTGCCGCAGCTCATATGAACTCTTCGGTTGATCCCTGGCTTATTTATATATAAACTTAATAGGCAAAATGGAATTTTGGTATCAAATCTTCTTAGAAGGACTCAAAATGGTTGATTACAAACTGATACTGACATCATGTCATACAAAACGGCGCTCAAAACCTGTTTATTCGCGCTAAAACTTTGTTTTGGACAGTTTTCCGATTGATTGACTCAGTACGTTGTGAGCGCTCGTCAGAGATGGACCCCAGCAAAGAGAAAATTCGCTATATTTTATAATTTTTCTTTGATTAAGGCGAAAAAGCAGCCAAAGCGACTGAAAAAATTAATTACGTTTATGGGCCCGATACTGTAAACGAGCGTGTGACACAAAAGTGGTTTGATAGGTTCCGCTTCGGTAATTTCGATGTCAAAGATGCACCAGGTTTTACTGTGTGTTTGGTGGGATTGCCAAGAAATCATCTAATGCGAACTGCTCCCCAATGGCCAAACGCTCACTTCGGCCTTCTACTATCAACAAATGGACCGCTTGAAGGCAGCACTCATACAAAAGAGGCCATCTTTGATCAACAGAGGCCGAATTGTGTTCCATCAGGACAACGCCAGGCCAGAAGCTCCAGGAGCTTGGATGGGAGATCCTAATGAACCCCCTTATAGTCCGGATCTGGCACTAAGTGATTACCATCTTTTCCTGTCCATAGCGAACGCGCTTAATGGTGAGAAGTTAGCCTCAAGAGAGGCCTGTGAAATTTGGCTTTTAAATCATTCGATGTAGCTTTTTCTGAAATTGCCTTCGGAGGCACCTTTTTTTCGAGAAGTGGGGCTAAGATAAATTCGAATGTCTGGTTTTACTTCATATGTAGAACTTTTGAAGGTATATATTTGCCAAGGTTAATATGTGGAGACCTTTTCTTTATTGAATTGTACCCGAGACTGACTTATGTGAAAAAATCGTATTTATAGTTTGATTTGCTTGAAATTTCTCTTTTGCCTAGTTGAAATAAGAAAAGCTTTGCTTTGCGAGATATAAACATGGCAGTTGTCTATGCGCAAAAATCGTAAGTTTGATGAGTTTTGCTTACTATTTGAAGCTAAGGCAGGCCTTTGCATTGCTTTCCGAGAAATGCAGCTGGGAACGATCTACTCTCAAAGGTCGCTTCCATGGTTCAATGTGCTTGATATCTTGAGCATAGAAAGGTCTTCGCCTACAACAATGTGTGGCACACTGTTCTCTCTTCTTCACAGGTAATAATTAAATAAATAACATAAAGTCCAATTAAAAATACCTGAAGTCACACGCAGGAGAAGTCGCGTGAAAAAATATATGAAAATCAATGAGAAACAAATTTGAAATTTAAATATTTCTATTTTAAACTACACACACACATTCAATAAATTTAAATCCAATGAGTTTACTCACATAGTTTTCGGCTACTCGTTTTGCTGCTTTGAAATTAAGAACTTTGACACTGATTACAGTTCGGCAACAATTGGAGAATTTTCATTTGCAACACCTTTTCGCTGCACTGCAACTACAAACAAAACTATTTCTCACTTTTATTTTGTTTTTGTTATTGGATTTTTATTTTCATTTATTTCTTTTTACGGTGCACAACTGTCGCGACTGTCACAAACTATTTGATAATTACAACAACAACAACAAAACTCGAAAAACACTAAAATGGACATAAACAAGTGTGTATAAGGTACATATATATGTAAATATGTATTATGCCATGTTTAATTGCTTACAAGAAGGGTTATTGCCAAAAGCGCGGGCGCGCGCAAGGGAAGAGCGAAAAAGAGTCGCTGTTTCACTGCTTTATGTTAATGCTGCCGGCGTTTTGCCTTTTTCCACTTTTTGCGTGTTTAAAATTAAATATTTTATTATTTTTAATCGGATTCTGTTTTCCGCTTGTAATTTTTACTTGCACATTTTTATTGCAGAGAGTAAAAGTTTTTGCTGCTTTTACACTTTGTTTTTGTTTCTTTTTTAATTTTTATTATTTTTACTTTTTCAACTTTTTATTTCTCTTACTTTTTACTGCTTTATTATTTCATTGCTTTACTTTTTACATTTGCCTGTCTTTTTTACTTATTTACTTATTTACGCGCAGTAAAAATATCGCTGCGCACTGTCATACTGCAGCCTCCGTGCCGCAGTTGCTGACGACGCACTTGAAGGATTAACGCGGTCGGTAGGTGGTCGCGACAGCGAAGCGTGCCTTTCACGCTGTCGATGTGTTGTCGTTGAGTGCGTGTATTTTATAACTGTTCATTTTTTATTTTATTTTATTTATTTATCATTTCACAGTTTTTTCCTTCCGTTTTTCGTTCAACTGCCGAACGACTCCTCTGTTGTTTTTTATTTTTAAACTTTTTTATTTTTGTTTTACTTTTAATGTAGTTGATTTTTTACGAGCGTATACGCCTCGCACCCAAAACACTTTATTTGCTGGTTTTAAAATTTAATTTTGTTTATGTACTTTTTTGTTGTTTTTCCAACTTTTTTATTTGTTTCATTTTCATCTCGTCCTTTTTACTTTACTTAACTAAAGCGCTTCCTTCGCGGCAGGTTCACAAAAAAAGCACTTATGCAAATATTCAATTGGCGAGTTTTAATAGATTTAAAAAGTCTTCATGTTGGATTAGTATTTATGTTGTACCTGCATTATAAAAAAGAATTAGAATGTAAAAAAATTGTATGTTGTTTTTATTCAATTTTATTTTATTAGTTTAATCGTTTTACTATTTAAAATATTCTGTAAATCTTTGGTGATCTCATTTTCGTATTCTATAAGTACGAACGGATTACGCTAGATTGTGTTAGAAAGAGATTATTTTGTTTAAAAGAGATAAAAAGAGAAGTGTTGATCGCTCTGTAGATCTTTAGAGTAAAGATAGTCCCTAGCATAGGAAAACTATGTTATATTCTAACAGTATTTTCGATAAAGGCGAAAGTGTAGGTCAGACAGCAGAAAATTTAATAATGCGGTTTCACCGATTTCATTCAAGTAATTTCGATGTAAAAGAAACTCCCGATGTGGAAGGCCAAATGTCAAGAATGTCGATAAAATTATGGAAATCCTTTAGTTGAACGAGTTTTCCGCGTATTTAACCATTTTTTTTTTTAGTAATATTTGAATTCCAGCTCTAACTATCGATCAAACTGACATTTTTTCCACGCTGTGAATTTTTCGAGGTACTTGCGTATTGTATATATCCGAGGTCGGAGCAATTTAACTTCCATTAGAACGCTTTAGAAATTTCTCAACTGGAAACTAGCAAAAAAAAATTTTTCGTTGAAATGATTTACAGACAATTTACTTATAGAAATACTTTTTAATACGTGTATATCTGTTGTTAATGGATGCTTTGGAGAAATTAGGAGAGAAAACATTAATTTAAAAAATCTACTATCATGTATTCTATATAATTTTTATTTCAATAGGTTTGCATTTATTTTAAAACAATCAATGACGCGTGTATGGACAAAATATTCCAAACCTACATAAAAAACGAATCCCGCAAGAATGAAAGTAATAACAGAATTCCGGTCAAATAGCTCCACCTTCTTCGAAGAGTATCCTTCACATAATTCTCTTTTCTGAAAAGGCCTCAAAATCATTGTTTGTATGCTGATAGCCTCTTATGTTTGCATATACATATATAACTTATACTTTGACATACAACCCCTCCAGCTCTTTCTACATTGTACATGTGTTACTTTGCCCTCAAACTGGGGACAGGTTGATAAATTTTTATGTGTAATTTTTTTCATGTCTGAAATGGAAGCTCATTGCCGGAGATTAGTTTTCCATGACAAAGAGATATCACAAGTTTTCCGTTGATTCTGAATATTGGTCAGGCCGGGAATCAAACCCGTTGGGCATCGCGTTATAGCCACTCAGCTATCTTTAAAATGCTACGCTGCGTATGCGTAACTTAATTATGATTGTACGGTGTGTATACGCAACCTACTTGTATATGCAACGTTAAATAAATAATACAATTTTACTCACATCATGTCATTGCATTCGAAATATTCGAAATCAAATTTATATCTTTTTTTACTAATTTGTTTTTAACATCATACAGTCTGGGTAAAATTATACGCGTATTTAAGATAGAAAAAAAAAAAAATTTAATTAAATAATATGCATAACAAGTAGGTGTTGCTTTAAAAACATTTGCAGCCCACTTGTGTCCATTTAATGTGCAGGACTCCGTATGTTAATATGTAGTCCTACGCAATACAAGCGCAAACATACCATTCTGACAGCGCTACACACCTGCTTTTGCATATGAAAATAATGCAGGAAAATACACGTGGCTTTGCCTGTGTGCGCTTTTCAAGTGCTCGCGTTTGTAGTCTCATACAAACATATATGTTAGTATGTTAATGCACTTCGGCATATATTATTTAATATAAGTATGTTGTACCAAGCGCATATAGGCCAATTAACCTACTTCTTAACACACATACATACATATATACACGGGAATCAGTTACAACCAACAACTGCATTTTATTACGCGTTTTTATGCGAAAAAAAAATATTTGAAGTTTTAAGCATTTAAACGATTTAATTGAATGAAATACAGCAAAAATACAATTTAATTTTTAATCTTTACATTTTTGTTTAAAATATAGCTTCTTAATGTCTCAAATTGACTATGCCTGAGGTTTAGGCATCATCCAAAACTCGCGAACAGTTTCAGTATTTTAACTGTTTACAACACCTTATTTGCTTTGTAACTTTTCAGACGATTTTTCACCCGTTTGCACAACCGTAGCCCACGTTAGCCGAAATCAAACTGAATTCACATTTATTTGCTACACAGCACACTTGCTGCAAGCCGTTTAAAAAGCGTTGTCATTTGCCGCCACTGCATAGCGTGCAGAGTCCAGCGATTCCGAGACTTTGGATATTTGGCAAAGGCAGCGCATGCGTCAAGCTTTGTGAAAATTTTTTGAATGAAAAGCTTTCCATTGCTACCTAGCAGTGTTTTAGTCCGAAAGTGTTACGGAGTTGTCGCGTAGTGAATGGTGGCTCTCTTAATTTTCCGTAAAAACATTAATAATTTTGTTAAGACTTTGTCTATGTGCTTATTATTTTTTTATCTTATTTGGTTTCTTCTATTTTAACTTATTTTAGTTTCATTTAGTTTATTTTTTTATTTCTTTTGGTTTTTGTTTAGCTTCAGATTATTGCAAATTAATGAAAATATTCTTTTTTTTTTCAATTTGGTTTTATTATACTTTATTTTAATTACATATTTACATTACTAACATTATTTTATTTACTTCCCTTTAACTTAATATATTTTGTTTTATTTTACACAAACAATAACAATGCAAATATTTTATTTAAATTTTCTATGTTATTTTATTGCGTTTTGTTTTATATATTTTATATTTTTTTATTTTATTTATTTAATTAAATTTCTTTATTTTATTTTGTTAAATTTTTTTGTTTATTTTATTCTTGTTTTAACTATTTTAAAATTTTTTCTTTTATTTTTGTTTCTGTTATTTTATTTTATTTTCCCCCCTTTTCGATTGATTTTTAATTTTTTCTTGTTTATTATATTTTATTTTTTTTTGTTTTATGTTATGCGATTTTATTTTATTTACTAATATTTTTTATACTATTCTGTTGTATATTTTGTTGATTTATTTTAATAATATGTATATTTTTTAATTTATATTGCCTTCTTTATTTATTCTATTAATTTTTTTATTTATATTGCTATACTTTATTTTTTTTTTTTATTTTGTGTTATTAATTTTTTTAAATTAATTTATTTCATTTTATTTTATTTGTTTTTAATTTAATTTAGTTTTGTTTCATTTGATTTTATTTTATTTTATTTCATTCGATATTACTTTATTTTTTTATGACTATATTTTTTTATTTAATTTAATTTTATTTTTTAATTATTTTGCTTTATTTTGTAATACCTTTTATTTTTATATTTTTTAATTTTTTTTGTTTTATATATATTATATATATTTTTTTAGTTATTTATATATATGATTTTTACTCATTTTATTTTTTATTTATTTCTTCCTTTAGTTTTTTTGCAAATTCAAGCATAAGTGCTTTTATTTAATTTTTTTTCATTATTTGTTTTATTTGATTTAATTTCTTCCTCGTTATCTTCTTCAGCTTTTATGAGAGGCTTACTCATCTTGTTATAAGTTCATTTTCCTTTTCACATAAATTCCTCTTTGGCACTCACTTTCGTCACTTGATCCTTTAAATAATCCATCAAGCTCATTATAGACATTTTGTGTCCCTTTTGCCTTTGATTGTTACATCAATATGTCTGTCAGCCTTGCGGTTGACAAGCGAGTTTTTCCCTGCAGCTCGCCCACTTTGACGCGGTCACTTTTTCTCGGAAATTCGATCGTTTTTGTAATATATCGTATCCTTTAGGTGATTCCTTAGCTCTGAGGTACTTGTGAACATTTTACAAACATCTAATGATTCGTCTGCTCTAATGTAGACATATCCATACAAACTTGTATCGAAATATATGTATGACCTTCTGGAGTCGCAGGCCCTTTTAGTCTCGCATGAAAGTCTTGCAGTCTCCCAAATGACCACTTCGACAGGTAATCCTTCTAATAAACTGACAATGTGTTTTTATTTATTTCGTTTTTTTTTTTACTTCTTCAATTCACCGGTGAAATCTGATAAGAGAGCTGTTTGAAGTGTGCTAATGTAGGCAATAAAATCAAATTGAGTTTGTCATTCATTTACGAAATGTGTTTGCTACATATATATATAAGTGGCCAAAGTATTGTAGGTTACGTAGGATTGCCCTTCAGGAGCCATAAAATCCGATTAACTGGTGGCTGGGAAAAATATAATTGATGGAATGGGAGTATAAATGGTTGAGCAATGCCATGGATACTTCTGCATGAAATATCTCTGATTCAGCTTCATTTAAAGTGAGATAGTTTTT